AGCCTGCATCGCGTCGGCATAGGCGACCTTGCGCTGCGCCGCGGTCGGCGTCACTGGCCACTCGAACAGCAGGGCCAACGCGCCGACCAGATCTCGCTCGCGCTGAGGGCTCTCGTCGGTCAGCGCCGCCGCCGCCCGCTCGAGAGCATCGGCGGCAACCTTGAAGCTGGGATAGCCCGCGTGCTGCGCGGCCGCCGCGAAGAAGCCGGCGCTCTCGTTCCAGTTGTAATCGGGCCCATTCGCGAAGGCGACGCCCCAGTGCGCCATTGCACACGCCGAGTCCGCCTCAGCTGCACGTTGGAAGCAGGCGACCGCCTCCTCGCGGTGCAGGCTGAAGGCCCACACGCAGCCCCGGTCGAACAAGAGCTGGCATTCTCGGACAGTGGTCGAAACAGGCTGCGTGTAAGCGCCGAGGGTGGGCGGCGGGGGGTCGTCGTCCAACATGTGTATGATATCGCAGGGCTAGACGCAGCCCATGCGGCGAAATTCTTTTTTTGGTGTGCCTGTGTAAGTGCCAGTGCGCGCCAGTCCCGTGCCCAGTGTTGTGCGAGGGAGTTTTGTTGTAACATTCTTTTTTTGGCATGGAGACGCAAAGAAGCAAGCCCGCCTCCGGCTCGGCGACGGTGCAGCTCTCACGCCTTCTCGACCACGGGATCGAACGCAAGGTATTGCTAAAAATCTCTCTCTCTCGAACGCTGGGACTGGTCGCCCCGCCGCGAGAAGCGGCGAGAGACTGCGAAAAGAGATACGAAGAGGCAGACTCCCCAGGGTGGGCGACGGCTAGCGCACCACACTCCTCTCCTTAAAATCCCTGTGTGGTGGCGGCGTGCCGTCCTCCCATCCCTCCCTTGGGTTGTGTGTTTTCTTTCTTTTTTTTCGCCCCGCCGCGGATCCAAGTTTCATCGGAGGACGGGTAAGGCTTTTGGCGTGTCTTTCGTTCGTTTGTTTGTTGCACTTGCCGTTCGCTTACGCGAAGACGCGAAGCGCCGACCTGTCCTCGAACCTGCCAAAAGTGGCAGCTCGAACGAGCTGCGTGCAGCTCCTGCCGCCGCACATGGGCGATACTGTGCCACTGCTGAAACCACACCCTATATACGAGGGAATACTAGTTGGAACACGAATTGTGACAGGACCATCGGGTCCTTCAGCCACCAAAGCGAGATCACCCAAGAGCAGCTGAGCGGTCTGCCTCTGGCCTCGCCTCCCTCTCCTCCAGGCATTCGTGGCATCCTGTATGGGTCGTCTAGAGTATCTTGACCCCAGACAAGGTTATGGGAGCGGCCATAACAGGTGTTATGGCTGTTATG